TCTTCCTCGGTTCCATCTTCGGAAGCCTTCTTGTACCAGTGCATCCAGTTGATTCCTTCGATGGAACCCTTGAGGGGGATCAGGCCCAGTCGTTGTGCAAGTACTTCATCTTGAATGACGGAAGTGTTGTTGTGAATAAAGCAGTCCTCAATGGCGATGGTGGGAATCTCGGCCATAAGGATTCGACGGAAAGCGTTGGCGACAGCGGGATCGAGTCCGATCAGCGAGAAGGAAGCCTCGAACCGTTCATTGCGGTGGAATTCGACTTTGAAATTCTGCAGGATTTATAATGGTCAGAGTTGGCTCAGGCCAGTAGAGAAGAACTTCCTGATTTTGTTTCATCGCATACATTCTTAAATTCATCGAGTGCCCACCCGTGCGACTCTCCGGGCCAGTGGCCAGGAAAATCTGTAGAGGGGATATTGGTGACGGTTTCCGCATTGATACCGATGATCTAGGGCGATTAGTACTCTGAGGTGCATGCCATAACTCTTGGAAACATACACGGCGGCGCTGCAGCTCCTCCTGCGAGGCAACAAGAGGCGCCATGGTAAGCAACTATAGAGGGTCTGGTGAAGGTTGGTGGTAAAATCCGCGGTCACCGATAAGAGAGATTTCTCGAAGCAATTTTCTAGTTTGCCTAAGGCAGAAATCAGGCCTTTATTCCGCGCACATTGTGATACATTACATAACCTAGAAGTGTGTGGTCATGTGATAAATGCACAGCACTTGGCCAAAAACGGCTAGCGTCAAGCCCACACCCTTGCAGTTTAGTGGCCCCTTCAAGCCAACCAGCGCACGGCTGATGACCCGGCAGCTTTCACGTGACGAGCCAAAATGCGACTCCCAAGTTGAGACCTTCAGCCAGTTCCCTATCCGTAGCGAGCCATATCCACCCATTGAATGCGCGTGGATTGAGGATAATCTCCCCTCATTTCCCTCTTGGACCTCCAATTTCTCCATTCTCCATGGCCGCTTCTTTCGCCCGTCTAGCGGGCCATGCGCCCAAAAGGCTCTGCCTCCGCCCCTCCTCGCTCAACACATCCATTCCTCGTTCCCGCTCGATAACCACCTCTATTCCTCGCCGTCAGGCAGAGGCTACTAGCTACCAGGCCACACGACTTGTGCCGACCGACCCGACCTTCACCTCACTCGCCAACAAGGGTCTTCCCGAGGACCCCGAAGCTGCTGGCCTTGAATCCGAGGTCGAAGGGATTAATCGCAAGATCCGTCACTACACCGTCAATTTCGGTCCTCAGCATCCTGCTGCTCACGGTGTGCTCCGGTTGATCCTGGAACTCAATGGCGAAGAGATCGTTCGCTCCGATCCTCATGTCGGTTTGCTTCACCGTGGTACCGAGAAGTTGATCGAGTACAAGACTTACATGCAGGCCCTGCCTTACTTTGACCGATTGGATTACGTATCTATGATGACGAACGAGCAGTGCTTCTCCTTGGCTGTTGAGAAGCTGTTGAACATCGAGATCCCTGAGCGTGCCAAGTGGATCCGCACCATGTTCAGCGAGATAACTCGAATCCTGAACCACCTCATGTCTGTCCTGTCCCACGCCATGGATGTCGGTGCCCTAACTCCTTTCTTGTGGGGTTTCGAAGAGCGTGAGAAGCTTATGGTTAGTTAATAAGAGCCCTTAAAAAGCCACTACGGTCAAATCTTCTTTACTGACACTTCGGGTGCTTTAGGAATTCTACGAGCGTGTCTCCGGTGCCCGTCTCCACGCTGCCTATGTTCGCCCCGGCGGTGTGTCGCAGGATATTCCCATTGGTCTTTTGGACGACATCTACCAGTGGGCCACTCAGTTCGGTGACCGCATTGACGAGACCGAGGAGATGCTCACGGATAACCGTATCTGGAAGGCCAGAACCCAGGGTGTCGGTGTCATTAACGCCACCGATGCGCTCAACATGAGTTTCACGGGTGTCATGCTTCGTGGCTCGGGTGTTCCCTTTGATATTCGCAAGTCGCAGCCGTACGACGCCTATGACCAGGTTGAGTTCGACGTTCCCGTCGGTGTTAACGGTGACTGCTACGACCGTTACCTCTGCCGTATTGAGGAGTTCCGCCAATCCCTCCGTATCATCCACCAGTGCCTCAATAAGATGCCCGCTGGTCCGGTTCGCGTGGAGGACTACAAGATCTCACCCCCTCCCCGTGCCGCCATGAAGGAGAACATGGAGGCTCTCATTCACCACTTCCTTCTCTTCACCAAGGGTTACTCTGTGCCCCCTGGTGAGACCTACTCAGCCATCGAGGCACCCAAGGGTGAGATGGGTGTCTTCCTGGTCAGTGATGGCAGTGAGCGGCCATACCGCTGCAAGATCCGTGCTCCTGGTTTCGCCCACTTGGGTGGCTTCGATCAGGTGTCTCGTGGTCACCTTCTCGCTGATGCTGTCGCAATTATCGGTAAGTCGTTGTTGTTTTGTCTTCTTCGTTTCTCAGCTCCTAACATTGAATCTCTTCTAGGTACTATGGATCTTGTGTTCGGTGAGGTTGACCGATAAATGGTATTGGCAACGCAATAATAAAAATGAAAAAACCAAACCTGAAGAAAACCTTCTCTTGGCACCCTCTTAGATGGTTAGATTCGCCTGTACTGGGGGGAAAAATCAGAAAAGAGGAATGATCTATTTTCCTTGATGTGATCCATAAACCCTGGAACTTTCGACGCCGGCTAGGGTGTACCAAATGTTCCATGTTTCCTTCCCATGGCGTTGTGCTATTATGTCTTGTCATTCTCCTTTGTGTGTCTGCTTTTTTTCCACCTCTACTGCTTTAAACAAGCCCTTTGTATAGTGAACGTCTGATTCTTCTTCCGTGAGCTGTTTATTTTTCAATGTAGGGATATCATCCATGAAATAAACCAGCGTAAACCCAAATCTGATTTGGATAGTACAAGGCGGCTTTGCATCTGGAGTCTATATGTTAGAACACCTACATAGGCTTATGGATTACAAATTGAAATACCCTCAGACGCCTTTGAGCCTTTTTTTACTCCAACAATGCAACCAGTTGACCCTAAAGCAGCTCAGATCCCCCTGACCGCTTCGTTGTTTGCCACATTTGTCAAATGACGGCAGAAACCCACCGCCTCAAGGGTATAAGAAGGCCCTCTTTCCCCCAGAGCTCCCTCTTCTTTTCTTTCTTCTTCAGCTCTCTTTGCCTATTGGCTTAGATCAAGTGTAGTATCTGTTCTTTTCAGTTTAATCTCTGAAAGTTTCCGTCCAGGAAACACTTTGATTATTCCTATTTTTGGATCCCGCGACTTGGCCCCTGTGCTTGCGCATGCCTCGTTGCACAGTGTCATTGGGCTTACACTACCCCCGATCGACGCGAATTTCTTTTTCATCAACTGTTCGGCTTGCCCGGGCACTTGGAGAAGATGCCTGAAAAATCATGCAGCAGCAACGGACTAGTTGCATTGCATGAAAAAGGTTCAGTCGTCTATGGGAAATGATGCTGCTCAAAATTTCCTCGGCAACCTGAAAACCGTGTTTGACCAACTTGACGCTTCCACCACTCAAAAATGCCCAGGCCATATCCATGGTAAGAAGCATTTGATAGATGTCCGGATGTTTGATTGCTTGACATTTAGTCTGCCACGCTGGAGTCGTAGCCGAAATTGCTCGGTCTTTCTGATGCATACACTTATTCTTGACAACTTCCAACATAGCAGGAATGTATAGACTATCTTGGTGTTAACTTCGGCAACTCCTCAGATATTGACAAAATCCGCATGCAAAATGTCGGTTCGCTGTCTCCTCGCCTTCATCGCAATTACCGGCACACATTCGATGCGTGGAGACAGCACAAGCGCCAGTAGGGATGGAAGGCCTTTGGACAGGAAATGTGGCCGAATACTTTCCCATGTGGTATTATGACCAGCTGCCAGCTTGCATCAATTTATGGCTTGGGGATCTGATGGTTGCAGCCACTGGGATTCAAGACGATCATCTCGGTTTGCATTTATAGGTGTCTTTTTTGGCGGCACCGGTTGCCACAAGCGATTACATGGGGAGGTCAAAGACAGATCCTCTGAGACAGTCCTTGGACATACTGTTGGGCCCTATGGATGACTGAGTAACTGTTCTCTCATACTTGCCACTTGGATGTACCTAGATATGTAACTAGGCGTTGTGCATTTCGCCATCTTTTCCCACAGTGTGAAGAACAGTTCAGAAGTCTAGGATTTCAAATAGGTCTGATCCAGCTCAAATAATTTTGTGCACACTTGACAGTCTTCAAGGCTAATTTATATGCTTTGATGAACATCCCAGGAATAAGGATTCATGCATCCCTAGCTAGAAATTATAGCCGAGCATTTTCAGAGGCTCCTAGCCCTCACTGAGTTCAATGTTTTGTCCTAGTCTATGGGCATTGGAGCCTGGGGCCACCGCATCGCCATTATTTCAAGACCGTCGACCTAAGATATGATATGGGGCGTTTGTTTTTCACGAGACTGATCGCGAGGCTTTAAAGCTTCAGTTGATCAGGCTCATCTTCCTTCTTACAACTCAGCTCTGCTGTACCATCCACCACATCCAAGCTATTTACCCACTCGGCCCAGTCGTGAACTTGGGCCCCCTACCTTCCCTTCTATCTTTGATGTAACATACTCACTTGTTGTCACCTTTATCACCCGTCTTTTTGAATATCCCCTTGGCCACCGGGACCAGGGGTGGATCTATCTCAAAATCGCACCAAAATCGCAGATCAGATCCGGTTGACAAGGTACACACTCAAGCCCGTAGGGTGACGATTCTGAAAATTAAGGTCTCTACTTGGCATCTGAAAGAGACGCACGAGAAGTGATTGGATCTCACATTTCCAGTTGGGCATCATGGCGAGCCCCCAAGATCATCAGTCTGAACAACCAACTCCAAGTTCGACGACATCTCTACTCTACACGATACCTACCGAGCTACGCTTGAAAATATTTTCCCTCTGTGTGCCCCGGAAATACGCCATCAAAGTGACAAGCGCAATGTATCGGCCTTACGGGGTCGAGCCTGTGGTTTCGACGCGTGACCCGTCCCTCCTAGACAGGTTCTCCAACACTAGCCCTCTCTGGACTAACGTTTTACATGTTTCTAAACGAATGAGCGACGAATGCCTGAGCATTCTTTACGGAGAGAACTTGTTCGAAGTTTATCTGGACAAAGGAGCTGAAGCTACGCTCAAGAAAACATTCAGCATTAAGAATATTCAGCGAATCAGACTCATGCTCGCCATCGCCCCCGGCCCATATTTCATCGGGGAACTGAACCCACCCGATATTCCTTTCTGGGCCAAGATAATCCCAAACCTGAAGATTTTTGGGTGGATGACCCAGCCAGACAAGAGAGCCGAGCATCTCACAAGCAATTTTACGATGGTGCAACGGTTGGAACGCTGGAAGGAGTGGATGGATGCCTACTTGGACTGCTTCGGTGAATTTCTGGTGCCCGGGGTGGAGTTCAAAATGAAACTCGAGAAAGAGGATGGTGAATACAGGCGGGTTGGCAGAGTTTCTTTTCAGCGAGGACCTTTCTTCAAAAAGGATGGAGAGCAGGAATGAGGGTCTACGAGGCATACTACGACAACAAAACTTATAGCTGATCCTTCAAATGCAAAGTTTTAAATCAATACTAGGAGATATCCACATCGACGTCGCTAAATCCAGCAGTAGAAATTAATCCATGACGAATTGATTGTTGGAAAATCCAGCCTGAGAAGCTCTCTAGCATTATACATAGCTCTACAAAATTTTGATGTACTTTTTAGCCGTGGAATCTTCCTGATGATTGCCCACAAGAACAGTCGGTCGCTTGCGCAGCCTTGTAATCTCTTTCTTGGTCTTTCTCAAAGTCCTCTTAGATGGTTTTTTTCTTGGGATTCCTTCCATTGTCGGTGTTTTCGCTAGAATGTTGGGAGAAAGGCTTGAATATGTATGTCGTGGGGGGACCGCTGACGCCCAAGCCCTTGAGGGCTTGACTTTGCTCCCTTCCGGGGCCTTGCAACAATAGAACCAGGCAGGCAGATGAACAGCATACCTGTTTGTCAGAGCCTCACGTTTTACAATAGATCTGTCGAAGCCTCAAGCTTTCGTATGTGACAGGCACTGTATTATGTGGGCCTCACACCTCTCATCTCCCTCGTTCATCAAATTCTACATTTCTACATCGTCAAGACGGCTTTGTACTTTTAAGTGACAGCCATACTCTGGGCACTCTCACATTCAGGTGCAAGTAACTATGTCCCGGGCAGGAGATTTTGAGAATTCACAAGCTTCCTGCAATTTGTGTGGTAGTAGTATCTTCACTTCTTCGACCATTGGCATTTCGGAAATCGTATATCGCGGTGCACCGGAAGATCTGAACGTTTTCCCGCCGCATTTTCCATGGATCCACGGAAAATCAGCGGATTTGTTTGACATACACTTCGATGAGATGTGGGCTTGGGCTTGCACGTTTCGAGCTGGTTAGTGCTTTCTCAACTTCGTTATCACAAGATGTTCATTTTAAGCTTGAGCATGATCTCAGTGTTTCTTAGGGCTGACTAAGGGGTCACATTCCATCTCTCCGGTGTTGGCGAGCTTCGATCGACCCATCCAATAAGCCTCCCACAGGATGAGAACGAAATGGTTTTGTGGAATCACCGAAGCCCTAGTCAACAGGCCACTCCAATTTCAAGCTTTGTCTCGATACTGAAATATCCAAAAGCACTTCCTATCCACGAAAGACGCTGGCAGCTCATTACTCGAGTTCTCGATGCAGACGTGATTAGAAGGAATATGGGCATCTTCGTGCGCGCAATGTTAAAGACAAATTTCTTTACGTTCTCAGGGACAGGATGTGATTCAATCCTTGTTTCTCCCGAGGTGAGAGTGGTGCTCGGTTTGGCTTCCCCTGTGACAACAAATGCTTCCAGTTTGGCGCCAAGATTCTACCTAACTACTGAAACATTTCGTGCCACAGATTATGGGAATCCAAGTAATGCTCCTCGTGGATTTCTCGGCACCGACCCACTGAACGACTTCTCCTATATTGAGAATGTGATCGCCAAGTACACAGCCAAGTACACCAAGCAGAGGAAGAAGGGATTGAAGCCAATGTCGCAACCCCCAATGCCTACACATAACATGTCCCGGAGATCCCAGGCTCCTTTCAAAACTGGGCACGTGTTTCTACCCGCCGAACTCATCTTAAACATCACAGATTATTTGGAATACCACAAGGATATTCAAACTCTGCTTTCAGTTTTTCCGCATTGGTACCCAATGATCCCGGATAGTTGTTGGAAGCGTCGATTCATTGACTATAACTGTCTAGATGATGACCAGTTCCCAGCAGTGGATGCTCTGGACTGTCAACATGTCTATTTCAATACTGACAGGTTGTTCCGACCTTCACTAGCATGGGGGAGCAGGCAATACATCTTGAGTCAACTTGGGGAGGTAAAAGGCCGATTCTTGCGGCAACTGATGCGGAATGATTTTCACGAGTGAAGCGTATTTGAAGGTGGAGCATGTTGCAAGAATTGATGGAACATCTACCAGTTATGGGGGATAGAATGTGGGGCTCTGCTTCATTTTTTCCCTTTCCTACTTGATTGATTAGACTGAATTATTTGACCATCGTGTGCCTTTTGCCTCCACCTTGGCGATAAATTTGGAGTAGCATGATATCAGCCTATAGTGCATGTGATGCCCGGGGAAGTAATGTGGCGTATGATCTAGTAGTCTATAAACTTGCTTCTGTTGTGGCGCAGTGCATAAAGGTTCCCAGATTTCCTCCAACAAGTTGTCGCGATTCCCCGTACGTTGCACAGCTGTCAACCTCTAATTCAGAGAAACACAGGGATTGTTAAATTTTCGACGAGCTCTTATCATCGCCTGAATCCCCTGCTCGACTCCCACGGATTCTACACTGTGGCGTTTTAATCGCTGCACCGAGCACTCTAGCTGCCAATGGGAATGGATCTTTGCTGTTTCTCGTACTCTTTGGAAACGGAAACCCGGGCAATCGAGTATACACCGAAGTGTCATATTGCATTAGTTTTCTGCTCGGAGGCGCCGAATTAAACGTTCACCCAGAGCTTCCGGCGAGTCCATCCCTAGATGTTTAGCTCTAGTCTCTCATGGATACTATTATTAGGTACGAATATATCGTGTACGATGGTATGGACAAAGCGATCATCCTGTATTGAAGGTAAAGGCCGCGGGATAAATGCAAAGGAAGTTACGTTGCGTTCCAAAAAAAAACAAAAACCAAAGTCGAAGTCGACAATCGAGAAGCTTCAAGAAGAGGTGGATCTGGCTTTGTTGGCTGGTGCCCGGGTGGCCAATGGGATCATTTTAAACTGATTATGTAATTGGTTTAATTGCACCTGGGGACCTCCGCTGGGTGAGATCGCGTCTCTGAGTGTCTTTCCTTTAGCATTTCAACTTCCATTCTTTTGTTTACCACTTACTATGATATTTGGTCTGCTCTGAATATCCAAAGGTTTATTATTCCTCCAATCACTTCTACTTCCATACTCGTTTCCCTTCACCAACTTCAGCCCTCTCATCTTCGATCGCAAAAATGGCCACCGACTACAGCAAGAAGACCAACGCCGAGCTGGTCGAGATCCTTAAAACTCGCTCTCTTCCCCACACCGGAAAGAAGGCCGACATGGTATCGCGCCTCCAGGAAGATGACGAAACCAAGTCATCCGACGCTCCTGCTGCAGCCCAGACTGACGCCGCCGAGGACGTCATTGACTGGGACGACGAACCTGCAGAGACAATTATCGAGCCATCCACAGAAGCCGGCGCAGCTGCGATTGCAGCTGGTGGCCAGGGTGCAGTTTCCAACCCGGTCGCTGTCCCCAACCAGCAGCTCGACGAGAACCCCGCCACCACCGAGGACTTGAAGATTGAGGCGACCGGCGCTGTCGCTGAACCCACCACTCAGCCCGAAGCCGCGATTGAGCAGAAGCCTGTTGTCGACTACACACGAGGTTTACCCCAGACTGATTTGGAGGCGGAGCTGGCGAAGCGCAAGGCTCGCGCGCAGAAGTTTGGCATTGTTGAGGACGATGACACAGCATTGAAGGAGGCTACAAAGCAGCTGGAGCGCGCTAAGCGCTTTGGTACTGGCGCCGACGCTGAGACTACCTCCGTTGCGGGTGTAAGTCGTCTTGACCAAGCACTTCCTGATGAACGCTCCCGCAAGAGACGTACTGAGGGCCGCAATGATAACCGCAACGATCAGAGTGGTCGCGGAGGCAAAAGACGTGACACTGGATCTGGACGCAACCGTAACCGTCAACGTGGGGATGGAAACCGCAACCGCGACCGCGGCGATGGTGGGAACAAGACCAATGCCGGCGTGAAGAAGCCTAATGCCGGTGGCAACACTGCCCAGAAGAGTTGGAGCGAGAAAGATCATGCGGCTATGGAGGCTCGCAAGAAGCGGTTTGCAGCCGCTGCCTGAAGGTTTCCAATAGTTTTCTTTGTCTGGGTCTTTACTTGGGCTTTGTTTCCATCTCTCGTTGTTTCATCATGGGCGTTTGTGTGTTGATATGCTACCGGACAATTTCAGGGTCAATCATTCCATTCAATTTGTTTTAATATATGTGGATCTCTGTGAAAATGTACAAGTGTATGGGATTTTTTTGGTGCCATAGTATAGAGCAGAAATAGCCCGGTCTGTATGTCCAGGTGAAGGCAATTCAGGGGGACGAGGAGACCTGAGATCTCTCAACTTCTCCTCCCAAGCACTGACCTACTCAGAGAAAACTCAATCCCAACTTCTCTCGCGGCCCCCAGAAATAATTCCCCGGTGGCTGCGTACGAAGTCAGCTGAAAAAGTGCATTAGTCGCCTGTTCCTGCAGGATGGGCGTCGACCAGGACGACCAGTCACTAGGCAAGGATAGGCCAGATTGTGATTGTGGAACCTCACATCTTTATTACTTCTGAAAATCCGAGAGTGCTCATGAATACAACCCACTGAGTACGTGCAAGATTACAGTTACAATTGCAAAATACAACATGCACTGGTCAATGCCATTCCAGACCCATTTCTCGTTGGTTGTTCCCATTGTCCCGATTGACGCCCTCCCCACTTAGCTCGGTGGCCTCCCCGCGAATCGAAACTTGCAGCTGGCATTTTTTTTTTAGACGGTGGCTTGAGCTAACATTGGATTTTCGTCCAGGGCTTGTTCATTGCTCAATTATCCAGTGGACCATCACAGCCCAGTGCCTAGCGGGCTCCACAATCTCGAGGCTCCATGGGTCGAATATCGAACTCGGTCTAGGGAAGAAATGCTCTCTACAACAAACGGACAGTCACTGAGCTATTCGAATCATACAAGTCAAGATATTAGACTCAACTTTTAAAGCCCCTTCACTTTCATCCTTGGAACCTCGAAAGGTTCGGGACGGGCCTTTGTACCAAACTATGGACAACCATGATCGTTGGGAAATCTTCAAAAACTCGAGACTATGTCTTAGATTAAATGGACATACGTCAACCAGGCTACATGTGAAGGGAGTTCGCCACTGTTCCGGAAAAGGTGAATCATCTTAGGACACCCTTTACGTCTATCCGCAAATGCATGGTCCCTTGAAACCACCTTGGGAAATTCTCCGACTGCCCGGGAAAGGCTGGAGTTGTAAACCGCCAAAAAGTAAAGCACGAAAATGAAAATCCCCTTCGTTGTCGATCATTCCACCAGTTGGGGCTCAGTCGGTCGGCGTTTCCGAACGCGTTATCTAGGAGGCGAAAGAGACGCGATAGTCAGACTGGTTGTCAATACGAAATTGTCCACTGTGCCAATAGTGTTTACCTTGTCCGCTACATCGGGGTACAGTTCCCATCATCTAGATGTTCAGCTTGAGTCTATCAGCTGGTCTGACAATCGAGTCATCATTTGTAGTCTTTTTTTTTTCTAGTTGAGTAATGGCATGACGAATAGCCCAGGGTACGCCATAAGTTGTATTGCCCTGTCACGTTGCGCCTAGCCCGACACCTGTTTGCCGCCATGCCGTCTAAGCAAAATAGCCAACGGCAAGTCCGTGCTAAAGGAGAACTCTCAAGTGGTCCGCTACTTACCTCCCCAGGTGGGCTTCCGTGCGCGCAGTCCTGTTGATCTGGCCACTGGAGGGTCGCCCTGGTTATATATGTGTAGAACTTCCTTCTGACTTTGCGATGGAGGCTATCGTCGCTCCAGAGGCACCGCGCAACTCTCACGATGTTCTGGTCCAATTGACAGGCTCCAGGTTTTTGCAGTCTGGAATTCTTCCCGTCTTATCACAAATCGTCACAATTCTTTCATGCCAATAAAATCCCTGGCTACATTCTATCTGGTCATTCTCCCACATCGGAGGGGCAACACCAGCCAGCACATAAATCGCTGGCGTCTCGGGAATTCTTCATTGTCTTTGATCTCGTTTTAACAAAACTACAATTTCGTTTTTGTATACTTCGTACTTCAGTCAGATTTAATCTCTGACGTGGATAACGCCGGAGAATAACCCTGAAATCAAACGCCACATTGCTCCGGACTGTGGCGAAGCTGCAGCTTCAAGGCTTCGCTGATCCACAGTGGACTTTTCTCATATTTATCTATTGATGTCTGGGAGTCCCTATCTTTTTCTTTTTATGATCCTTGACATCCTTGTAATGCCTATTGATACCATACTTCTTAGTTGAACAACTTTGACATACCTCTTTTCGTCGGTTTTGCGAATTTTCATCTTTTAGTTCTATACACCCACCGTCATGCGTTGGGCGCCCATCAATCTTGATACTTTGGTTTGACATGACTCAGATGCCGTGGGTTCACATCCGTGAATTTTTAGCATGATGAAGTTGAACCAAAGAGCTGATTAGATTAGAGAGTCACAGGCCCCCATAACGACGTGATGCTTGACATAACGAAGTACATGTACCCACCGATTAATCATTTGTCTCTGGATTGGAGTCGGGAGCTTCACTTGTCCGTATGCCATGTCGTACAGTTCTGGCTATCACATGCCGCACGATGCTTCTTTGAGCTTACCACGTACTAATGTCGGTGCCTATAACCGACTTCCGCGATCTCAAATTGCGAGACCAGTCAATCACACCCCCAGGAGCAGACCCTCGTCATTCTCAGATGTCGAAGACACTGGCCCAGTAGCAGCGCTGTCGGCTATCAAGCGATCTACCAGTCGTCGAAATCACCTGTCCATGCTTCCACGCCCTAGTATTGATAGTACAACATCCCTAACTACGCCCGTGTCTGCATCATCTCAGAAATCTACCCGGCCAATCCCCTCCTCGTGTTCGAGCCCGGAGACTCACACGCCCTCGATTTATATTGCTGGGCAAGAATTGCCCCCGCCAAAACGAGCGCGGAATATTCTTCGAAGGAGGCCACCGACAATAGGGAAACATGTGGAGCAATTACACTCTGACAAGCCTAGCCTTGTTATTTCGCAAGAGGCCCATTCTCTTGTTATGAATAATGTGACAGGGCACGGAAATTCGTCATCCTCACTTCCAGGACCATCTGGCCCCTCTTACAACCCAACCCACGGGAATGAATGCAAGGGGACATTTAACTCGGTGGGGTCTAGATTTACTTGTCCGGTGGAACTGTCAAGTCTTCGAATGACAGTCAATACGCAAAACTTGCCAGCATCTCCCGCTCCTTTCATCTTGGCAAGTAGCCCCTCGACAAGATACTCGGAATCTCCAAGTATTTGGAGTCGGGGATCTACCCCAATGTCATTATCATCAGACCCCCCCGGCATTACAAATATTGGCCGCCCGAGACGACCGAGCCCATCTCAAACAAGATTGCCTGGCTTCTCGCCTTCGCCAGCATTTGCAACCCCTCATTTGGAAAGACCGGGGTTGAAGACTCAAAAGCGGATATTTTCTACAAGGCCTTCCAGCTCAAGCGGAGTAGGGACGGACAAAGGCCAAAGAGTACCGCCAACCGTCTCTCCTTTTAGAGCAATCCGAGGGTCACCATTCAGTCCGCCACCGAGAAAGTCGTCGGTCAATTTCAGCCCTCCAAGACCTTCGGAAATCGACGTCGAGCAGGCTCGGAGAGAAGTGAAGGAAGCCGAGAGACGTTTGATTGGCCCACAAAGGGATGTGGAATGTTTTCCCTCACACAATGCAGAGACACCACAAACCCCACCAAGACCGACCAGAGATGGAACGCCTGGCTTAGATCTTGAAATGTCGCCCATTGTTCAAAGCGACCTACGATATCTTAGAATAACAAGCCACCCAGGTCGCGAGGCGATGGGGAAAATCCTAGCGGTCCAACAGCCACCCCCAAATCCCAACCAGTCTACCGCTGCATCTATTGACTCGTCGCAATCAAGAAGGATATCTCAAGTCCCTTCTCGGGATGATGGGTTCCCCATGCTATCCAAAAAGACACCCCGGGCATCGATTAATGAGAACTCCAATGAGAAGCCGGATCTGAAACGAAGCCCAACACCAAAGCGCTTCGGTCTATTCTCAAAGAAGTCCGAGCCGAACATGTCGGAGAATCCGACGGAGCAAGCCCGAGCAACTCGCAAAGGTCCGGCCGCTGGAACAGGCCACGAGGGCTACGGCAAATACGGGCAGCGCGGCCGCAAAGCAAGCAGCAGTAGTTGCAGCGGGACGAGAACCAGATCAACAAGCACAACATGGAGTGCCACTAGCAAAGGGAGCCAATCCAGTCACCCGGAGTTGGACATTGATGATTTTCTCATGAGTCGTCTGGAGCCTGTCATTATCAATGGCGGTGGACTAGACGGCTCATCATTGTCACATACACAAAGCGAGCAGAGTTTCAGCAGCATTAGCGTTGCGTCGACTTCGAACTTGCCGCGCCAAACTCTTCCATCATTCTCGACTAGCCAGTCTACCGACTCCCTCGCCATCTCAACGGGGACATTCAATGAGACTATTAAGCCAATTTATTCTAGTTACACCAGGCTGATCGGAAGCAAGAGCCCTGAGTACCAATCTAACGCCACTGATCATTCCAAAGCATCAAAAGCACGCATGCCCATCCCAAAAGGAAAGAGGCATGGCGTGTTCGCTAACCTCCAGGCTGCTATTCCAAACACGTCTCTTCATAGCCACGAGCACAGCGCTGCCGCCTCACATCAACCGAAGCGTGCTCAAAAATCCCCAGAAAAGGTCTCCAAGCCCGAGCATGCTAAGAAGGAACAAGTCAAGAAAAGAAAACTATCCATGTGGAAGTTCTTCCAAAAGAACCGCGCCAACGAACAGAAGTGCTCAATTCCACCAACAGCCTCATCCAAAACAGCAAAACTTCGTGCGACAGTCACCCCGGTTCTGAAAACTCGGCTCGTGGCCCATTATGCCTTACTGGACGCTGACTCGGGCGAGCTCGATGGAATCATCAACAACATCAAAGACTCACCACCAACAGAGGAAACAATTTTCAACCCCGTGGAAGTCTCAAGGGGCCTGAGCAATAGAAAAAGAAAATCGTCAATTCTGCTGCCATCTGCACCAAAGATTCATGGTGATTTTGATGTTGACGATCGCCCATCGCCGAGGACAGCCATGTTCAATCGCAACCTTATGGCCCCGGAGCTCGAGATATCACCTGAACAACGTCCACGTTTGGCCTCCGTTGGTCGGATCCCACAGATAGTTTCACGACGCGATAGACATCATTACCCTTTCATGCAGTCATTCTCGCGTCCGTTCAGTGTTGTCGAATCGCCTTCCCTCACAATTCCAACAACAGGGAGCTCATACGAATCCCCACTTCTCGCAAATGTTCCGTTGAATCTGGGGATTGGACCATACGAATCTTCTAACTGGGGTGATGGGTTTAACCCAACCTTCAGCGCATCCGAGGAGACCAGTGCTTTAGAGTTCCTTGCTGGACCGTTCTCAACCTATGAGTTCCTTCAATTTCCGCCGAAGAAAGGCTCGACCTCATCGGATAGCTCTGGAGCTCTGGCTGCAGTTACAGCCGTGCCCTCGGTTCCAGGATCTCCGCCCACCGAGGACGAGGTGTGGAGTGAGTTCGATGATTTCATCGATCACTTTCTGTCGCCAGATGAACCGAAGCCCGAGGAGGCGGAGAAGACCGGAGAAGAGGACAGATTTGAATTGGCAACGATGGCGAGCAAGGCTCTTCAGGGCGGGCTGCATAGTGCCATTGACTTCCAGTCAGCATTCTGTGGCAATTCAGTCCACTCGAGTAGCAGCTCTGTTCATCTTCGCCGTTCTCAAGTTGTCTCTGGTTTGCAATCGTCTACAGCCCCTTCATCTCAGCCGTCTTCCAGTGATCTTGTTGCTGAACATAGAGGCACAAATGAGGAGGACATCCAACAGCCTGCTGATCCTACTGAGCAGCCTTCTTCAGCCGATCAGCTTCGTGAACAGCAGTCTACGTTTCTCAACTCCCTCGCTGCCGAACCTTCCTCTAGACCAACGTACCACCGACAACAAGAAGCGACATCTTCCGAGCGTGAGTGGGATGCCGTAACATGGACTAACATGCGTTCTGCTTCGCTCATGACTAGTCGCTGGTTGTCTTTCGGCCAAGTTCTTTTCAGCCCAGCACATAACCACGTCACAGCAGGAGGACAAGGGCGAATTCTTGTGATCGATGGACTGGGAAACGACGACTGGTCTTGCTACTGTTCCTTGACGTACCCCAATGCCGAGGTATACAGCCTAGGTGGACGCCCCGTATCCGCAGCATCTCTCCACCCTGCCGCATGGCAGCCCCCTACCAACCATCACGCCATGTATCACGCAAGACTAGACAATCCTCTCCCATTCCCAAAAGATTTTTTCACAGTCGTCGTGTTACGGTTCCCCACTGTCTGCTCCGAGAACGTGCAAAGCAACATCATCCAAGAAAGCAGACGTGTTCTCCGCACCGGAGGGTATCTAGAAATGAGCCTTCTAGACCACGACATGATCAATGTGGGACCTCACACGCGCAAAGCTATCCGTCACCTCAAAGAAGTTACCTGTCTCACAGACTCATCCCTCAGCCTGAAACCAACCAGCGACAGCGTCCAACGCGAGCTTGGCGCGCAGGGATTCGACGGTCTCCGTCGCTGCATGGTTCGCATTCCAGTCGCTGGAATGGTCCCCCGATCCTCCGACTCGAGCTCATCATCCCACTCTATTTCGAAAGCTACCCCTTCAACCTCATTCTCGCTACCCACCATCTCTGTCACGACTACGGGTGACGGCCAGAGCACAAGACCTTCCTCGAAATCCCCCGCAAATGATGCAAATGTTTCTCTCGGGGAGTTGCTCTCTGATCCTTCCCCATCTCCGGCAAATGACGAGTCAATTGCTAAGATTGTTGCGCGTGTTGGACGCTGGTGGTATTCGAAATGCTATGAGGATCCTATATTCCAGACTGGATATACGAATCCAATTTGGAATGACCGAATGGTACTCCGCGAGTGCCAGAAGCGCGGTACCGGGTTCCGCATGTTGATTGCATACGCTCAGAAGCCTAGTGAGGTTCCGCGACGCACGGCAAGTGTGTAATGAAATGACGCCGTGATTAGTCTCGTTTTTTTGGGTTTTCTTTTCATTCCTTGTTCTCTTATGATGACATCCATACGCTGCATGGAAAAATACCCACATATACGCCTTTGCGAAGTCGGATTGTTTTGGAGCGTTGGTAAGACCTGGGCTTTGTGTCTTGCACTCAAGGCTTGCATTTAATTGGCTTCTACTTTTTTTTTCGTGTTTGATTTGGCGTGCATGATGCGATGACTGGTAGGTGCCATAGAGGAAGAGGTGTGTCGTGTGGGATTTCCATTGTACAAGCAGGACTTGATGTGGATAATCAGATACTTTGATGATTTTCCTTCGTCGTTCGCAGAGGGTTCTCGTTGCATCCATCACTGGATAATGCATCCTGAAGACACACTACTTCTCCTTGCAGCAGCTGCATTTTTTTGGTTGTGGTGGTAGCATCACCCACGCGCCAGGCATAATTCCTGCGCCATACCGGGAATATCTAGGTCTCCTACGTTTGAGTCACATAAGACAAAATGTCTGTCTTTCCTTCCTCTATTCAATATTCCAATTCAGACTGTCCTCTACCTCGTGCTTCTGGATTAGAAAGTCGGCCCTTTGACCAAGTAGTGTCAACAACGGAAGAGGTTACTTTTACGCTAAATATGGTCCGACTTCAGGCACTGGGCTCTGTATATCATGATAGTAGTATTGTTGCATATGTCAATGTCTGGATTCTGGTGAGATTGCTGTTTGGCGAGACGGGGCTCTCGTCGCACGATAGTATTTGCATGACGAAACAGGCTATTGACTTACAGCCTAAAGGGCTTACAAAAAATTGGTAAACCCTCAGGTATCCCATGCTGGTCATGTAATTAATATGGCAAATCCAAGGGTGTCGAAAGTGATCAAAGCAAAACATGATCGTTTTAGCTTCTCTTAATGTAGCCCACTCAGCAATATCTGTCTTGCGTAACGCGCATTCTTCATTTCAGATCATGGTATCTCAAATTAAAACATAACCAATTATGAGCATAAAAGTCATTCAAAGGTCCTGATCTGTACAGGAATAGAAAAAGAATGGGAAAAAAAAAAAGAAATGGAAAATCCTACCCAAGAAGAGCAACCATCAACCGCTGGTAATCACCAGAAGTCTCGCCGCGCACCCGGTCAATCAAGTTCTTTCCGAACCTGTGATGGTAAGCGCGCTTGACCATCTCCTTGTGGTTGCGATTCCAGTGGACACGGACAACACGGAAAACAAGGCGCTCGTCCTTGGTTCCCATGCCGCTCATAGTTTCCTCGAGTAGGATGGCATCACGCATGGCCGGATCCGTAGCCGAGCGAAGCATCAAGAGTAGCGCATCTTCCATATGACCCGAGAATTCCTTCTCGATGTGCTTCTCGAGGGGGATATGGTAGCGTGACTGGAACGTCTGGCTAATAGCACGGAGCTCGGCATTGGACGCCTTGGCAAAGATGGAGCACACTTCTGTGACGTTCTTCCCTTGCAGGGATCGAACATCCGTCTCGATGGTATGCGGGTTGATAGGGGCAGACTCTTCATTGCGAGCAGCACGAAGGACGGTGGCGAACAAAGTGGATGTCTTGAAGGAGAGGTCGCCTTCGACATCTTTAGAAAGCGAACGCCTATATCTTATTTCGTAGGCGGCCCGGATAGCATTCATATCAGCATTGGACCGGCCGAGCAGGATCTCATTGAGTAACCACTCCTTCGTACCGGCGCCATCGATTGCCGAGTGCAAGTTCTCGACATCCTGTATAAGCGGTCCGTCGAGTACGGCAAGTAGGCCATCGCCAAAGTATCCGCCAGTCTCGGACTTGACGTCCTTGAACAGATCGCGGCCGAGGTGCTTGGAATATGTGTCGCGAACGGCGGCCATCTGAAGCGGGTCGAGTTGCGCGAGAACTGCAATCAGGGCCTTTTCGTCCGTGCCAAATCCCTTCATCGCTTTACGAAGAGCATCTGCTTGCGGCCGGAAGTCGCCTGGTGCTACTTGTCCAGGGATGTAACCGGGAGAAGGTTGTGACGGAACACCCTGGGGCGGATAGGCGCCACCAGCTGGTGCGCCGTACCCAACAGGTGCTTGACTTTGTGGTGGGTATCCCATGGGCAGTTGGCCTGGAGGGGCATAGCCATGCTGCTGCTGGCCAAATGGAGGTTGCCCGGGCGGGGCATGGTATCCGTGAGGTTGAGATGGTGCGCCGTAATGGCCTTGTTGGGGTGGAGGATAATGTCCCTGTTGAGGCGGGAGGTGGTGGCCATGCTGAGGGGGGTATGGGCCTTGTGGGGGAGGGGCACCGTAGGGCTGCTGATAGCCCTGGGGTGGAGGTCCAGAAGGATGGCTTTGCTGTCCGTATTGTTGGGGTGGGTATCCTCCATACGGAGGTTCTATTAACTGAGTTAGTTGCCAATCCTCTAAATAAATTGGAATGCCACGTACGATTAGGATGATAAGACATGGTATGGAGCCTATGACTTTAGTGTATGCAAGTCAAAAAAAAAAAAAAGGCCTGGGCTGAGGGGCTGAGGGGCTGTTTATATGCCGGGCTGCTCGGCTGGGAGTGTGGCGCAGTCAGGTGGGGGGTGGGCGTTCACAGCCTTGCGAGTTGTAGAATATGAAGTCTGCCAATGTTTCTAAGTGGACTTCTTCGTTTCAGATTAATTCTCTCTAATTAAAAAAAAAAGAATTTGCTGTTGCCTGGTTACAAGGGTTGAGAGGCCTTCTTTCTACATCGGTGTACGACGTGTATAAAATGGACACCCACTTCGCGTCGATCAACCCCTGGATTCATTTCAATCTCAAAGTCCTCTCCTACATTCATGGATGGATTCAAAAGCCTTGACTCATCACCGTTACAGTTTCAACCATTTCCCTCCACCGCCAACAATGGTGGCTTTCTTCACTTCGCCATCACTGAAGGGCATGTCAAACCCGCCCATAATAGCAACCCCGTTCTTGAGCCTGAGTTCAATCTGGTCCTTTTGCATGGGCAACTCTTCAAACTCTTCAGATTCGTTGAGCAACTGGTCGGTTGAGTCATAGCTAACGTCGGCATTAGGAATGGAGAAAGATTGCCCAAAGCCAGTCAAGTTGCCCACGAAGACATATTGAGCGCCTTCGATTTCAAACTGACCAAGGACTCGTCCTTGGTCACTTGTCAGGGTTCCAGTTCCTTGCGGCATCTATTTCATGAGTTGATCGGTGTGCTTTAACTCTGCCCATGGGAACATGGAAGGGTGCCAACCACTTACTCTGAGGAGATCTTGCCGGATATTCGGTGGTATGGGGAATGATCCTACCAATCTAGGTGCTCATTCGATCATATTTAAAGAGACTGGGTAAGGAAGAGCGGTCAACGTTGAGAGTCCAGGGTGGGATACCACACAGTACCTCCGATGTCATACATGTAGGTCAAGCGGAGAACCGTATGATCTTCATGGCATGGATGGTGGTTCGTCCTATCAAGGCGATGCCAGCAGAAATATGCATACCAGAGATGTAGGGCTACGTAATGGGACAGGACTTCAGCCGCTCTGTCCGGCCACAAGTGCTGAAAATTATTGTAGAAATTGTGGAACTGGCATTTCAAATTGAATCAGCATGATGGCCTATGTTACTGTGACCTTGATTTTTAAAAGGCTTAGTTGATTCGAAAGTTTCCAGTTCAGAAATGAGTGTCTTTCAGAGAATTGCCTTTTCCATCGGAGCACGCTGATATATGTATAAGTGTAAATCTACATACAAAGACAAACTTCAAATCGAGGTCTCAATTTGAGTCTCTTTTCTAACATCCCATTGATATAGTTGTTCAATTCGATCAACGAAAAGCATGTTATATTTCAATTCTGATAGAGTCCGGAAGTGAAAAGATCGTGAAGTCCAGACTCAGCCACAATATTTCCCCACCAAAAGCGGATGATGCTAGCCTTATTCGGCTAGCAGCCCCTTGTCCCTGCGCCTCCGCAAAATGCGCAGGATAGGCCCCAAGATGCCTCTTCAATGGTGCAATTTATATGACCCTCTCAGGGTCCACCTGTATCACGATCGGGCCCAGAAAGCACTGCTGGAACATTTCGTGCCCCACAAATTTCACAAGCCTTACCCAGTCTGTCCTCATTAGCATCATTCCCTTCCACATTGACTGTTTTTGGCCTAGAACTGTTGCACCACTGGACAACGTCATGAAGCACCTCGTATTGGACTTTTGACACCGCTAGGATTACACACCTTGATGCCATATTCTGGCTACACATAGCTCGCTCTGATGAATCTCGACGCAGAAGCTGCCTTGCTTACGTACAGATGTACCACAGCACCACCGTCAGAGAAATAATCCCGCTCGTCTCATCTATCGCTCGAGAAAATTGTGCAGCGCTTCGCATTGTCTCGTCTCTAACATGGATATTCTGCTGCGCCAAGCCATCGGAAGAAGGCGATTTCCTTGGTCCTCATCGGACGTGGTAATCGATCAGAGCGGACGCGTCTTTCCAGAACGGGGAAACGACTATTTTTATCTATACCGGCAATGAGGACCCTATTACGGGGAATTGGGCACCGATCTTCACGAATGGGACTTGTCGAGCTACTGCCCATCGTGCGCCCCAGATCCTGAAGCAAGGAAAGCCGCATGTTTGGGCGTTACGGCAAGTTGTGTGGAAGAAGTGTACAGCCGACCCATAATTTCGGGCTACTTACCAAAAATCCTTTGATCAACTAGCCCGAGTATTGGGTCTACCTATAAGACGTGTCATCACGCGGAAACTCGAAACCACAGATGTTTTCAGGTGGGTGCTTGATGTGTCAGATGATCGTTTTAGACCTCCTTCGCCAGGAAGCGCCGATTGCACTTGGTCACCTTTGCTCTTTGGTGTAGATCTATTCGTCAGATTGAGTGGATGTCGTGGGTGGAAGGTCTAAGCTCGCGCCTGACACAGCTGCACTCGGTGTTAGATCCACAATGTCGAGGTTGGCTATTGTAGCCACATGGGAGTTTAATGAAAGTTGTATAAACAATTCCAAGATTGATGATTTAGAGACTTCATCAGGGAGCAAAAGACCATCCCAAAAGAGCAAATGGCGCAGGAAATGGATCCACATCAAGTTTATGCCAAGGAGCATTGCTGATTTTATTGCCAGACTATGTTGCTCTCATAACATCCATGAATATCCAATGTACTATGTTTGCCAAAGCGAAGTAGGCTAGCAGTTGGACACGACTCCTATGATCAATGGCATGACTGTCTTACTTTGCCTCCAAAACTATCAGGTAGCAAGCTATACGGTCTCTTTCTCCAAGAAGGAAACGGAAGCCTGCTTGGCTTGGGGCATTAACCAGCAATAAGAACGAAGCGAAGCTTATGCTAGGCATCATAGTTGATGAAAGGATGGAAAGGGAGATAAAGAAGAAGAAAGAGAGAAAGTAGAGAAGAGAGAGAGAGAGAGGATGATGAAATGAGCCATTTAGTTGAGTAGGAATCTGGTTCTAAGGCACGCGTGGTGAAGTAATGTCGTGCATATCTGTATAGGCACAGTGGTTGGGGGTATCATTGGAGCGATGGTGGGTCTATGTCTTCGGTATGTAGAACAATCTTCCTACTGACAGGGATCCATTACAGGATTTATGTTCGTTCGACAATATCATGGACGATATAGATATAGTTCGTGATTTCTGGAATCTAACATCTGGATGCAATGTTCGGAAACGCTCATACGGCATTCAAGTTCCCAATTCTGATCTTCATAATCATCGTGACTATGTAACGAACAGACGCAAAAAAAAAAAAAAAATACAGAAACGGGTATGCGAAACAGGTCAAATGTATCATTTGGTCATGCGATTTCAAACGCAAGAAAAGCCAAGGCATCTTTACCTGTGGACCTCCCTGACGAATTCAACATGCGAACCAGGGAACAGTCCCGTTCGGCCAGCGTAGCACCCCCAGAACCAATCGTCGTTGATATTCTCTGATTCCGTAATATGCGCACCTCGCGGGAAAACAAGCTCGTCTCTGACTTCCTCTTCCGGGTACCATGACCACAGAGCGCGGACAATGAGCCCGACACCCCCGTCAGGCGGAAACCGGCGGAAGGGCGGGATCATCGGAGTCGCGGTGGCACTGGAAAGAGATGGATGGGAGGGGTCAGAAGCAGAGGTAGTACCTCCGGTGATACTGTTTGTGGGAGCAGGCCCACCGCGAAGACGGGATGCTTTCTTGCGGCGTTCGGGGCCGTCCTTCCAGGTCCAGTCACCGGTTCCCAGCTCTGGGGATGCAACGAGACCGCCGCTGGCTAGGGAGGAAGTTGGTGACTGTATTTGTGACTGTATTACGTGTTGTTCATTAAGGGCGCGGCCGCCCACAAGATCGCGGATAATGACGCGGCGCTGGCCTTCTTCGTGGTCTTCGAAGCCGACCACTATCATGCGGTGGCCGGCAAGGCAGCGGCGCCAGCCGTTGTGCCCGTTCTCTTTGTTAATTTTGCCTGTTGCCACAAGTTTGAGGTAGCAGTTTGTACAGACGTCGTAGTCGCCGCTATTGCATTCCAGGCAGTGGTAGCGGGTATTCGAGGCTGGGATTGGGTAGGTGCAGATATCGCAATTTGTTGAGAATGAGAGAATTTTGAAGCTCTCGGTATCGGATGATGTGGGGATAGTATTTGATTCAGCCGGCGGCGATATGGTGGGCAGTGCTGATGAAGGTGGACAATGGGTCATGCGTCGGATGGGTAAAAGGGCGTGGGTGCAGCATCGTCCTTGGTTGACACAGAAGTTACAGAACCCCCAGTCTCCCTCGTTGCACTGATTGCACTTCCAGAAACAATCGTTTGCCCAAGATTGACATGAATCACAGAAGAGACCGCTTTGTAGCCGGCGGACTGGGTTTTCGTCGGTCATTTGTCTCTCTCTGCTCATTGTTCGATGGGCAGTCTCGGCGGGCCGTTGGTATCTGAACCACAATAAGACATGACCAGGGTCTCTAACTTGTACAGAGCGTCGAGTAGACGACAATATAATTTGTTGGAAGGTCGTTAATGCAGATGCGCCAAATCCGTTCCATCGAAGACAGCCACGTCCCAAGCGGTAACATCGTAGACATAGGTGGAAGTTGCCCTCCTTGCAACTTGGGCATTTCTTGTGTAGATTGTATTGAATGTTATCCTTCCCGCAACGGTCACAGGAGATGGATGGCTCGGTGAATTGGATAATGGGCGGTACAGGGACATTGGATCGTGATGGAGATGGTCTTGTTCGTCGGTCTGAACGGATGGGGACAAGAGGCGAAGATAATGACGGAGTGGTGTGGTCCGTGGGAGGTAAATGGCGGGAGAAATTCGAAAGCGCAGCGCCAGAAGTGGGAAAGTTTGTGGCTGATTGACTCGTAGACGGTCTAGAAGAACTTCGGTCTCGTCCTCCTGCCGCCCACGCTCTTGGAATATTCTGTTCTGACTCGGTGGCACGTCGCGGCCTGGCTGACGCTGATTCTGATCGTAAACGCCCAGCCTGAGAGATGTGGCGATCCGTAATTAGATCACCTGAGAATCGAGCAGCAGGCCTTATGGCTTCATCCGATGCAGAGGCCTGATTAGTTCGGACGGGCGAGGTCCTTGGACGACCACTCACTTGTTCCGAGCTGTGCCTCTGGTGACCCGCGGTGCTCGGCCGCGTGGGAGGCGAATCGAACAGATGCGGTCTTGAAACTGGTGGTCGTCTAGCGCTGTGTGCTCGGGTAGCCGCCGTTGGTTCCGCAGTCCTGTGGGCGGACTCCGACCTCACATGTGTTCGCGTAGCTCCGTCGGCCTCTGGTCGCTGTTCTGGTCCCTGTTCTTGCCGCTGACGAGGCTGGGATCTTTGCATATGCTTCCGACGGTAGGCATCCGCAATGCGCTCACTGAGTTCCTCTTCTTGTCTTGGCCCGAGGTTGTCAAGATTGATGTTGTCCAGCAATCCGTCCTCGAGAATTTGCCGCAAGATCTCTTCTTCCATGGTCTCCACATCCGATGATAAACTCAGTAATGACCGCAAACTGGATTGATGCTCCACCCGTCGCGTGCGGTCTGAATCGTCGGGACGTGATGTATGGTGCTGCTGCGTTGTATCATCATCCCTCCGACGCCTTGAGCGGCCGTCCTCCGCAGGCCTCTCGGTATTGGTGCTTCTCTCGCGCGTCCGTGAAGATTGTCCTGTCCGCCGTGTCTCGCGCCTAGCTTGCGCCCGGCTTTCGCGTAGACTCAGCTCGCGTACCTCCGCTAGAATTCGTCCATCCTCCACTCCATCCTCCTCCGCGCTTTCCCCGCCGGAAGGAAGTGCTGGGAACACTGACTCGCCGTGTGTGTATTTCGTAGCGATTTCTGCCTTTTCATCTGCCGCTCTTGCACGATCGGGGTGTGCGGTCAGGACCATATCCAGCAGGGTTGTCACAGTGGCATTTGGGCGGGTCTCGCGCACTTCAGCGCGACAGGCTGGACAGGTGAATCGAGGCGAGGCACGGGAACGACGCGACCCTTGTGCGGAGAACCATTCTTTCACGCAGGATCCACAGAAAGTATGGAGGCAGTCGAGGAGAGTGAGGGGCTGGTAGAGTAGCTCGGTACAAATCTGGAGTAAAAGAGCGGTATTAGAAACGGAAGGGGCAGAGTGGACAATTACATACCGAGCATATCAGCTCTTTCTCAAGGTCTGCCAATCCGGAACTTTGAACTTGAGACATGAGCAGGTTCTGGAGAAAGCCCGTTCACCAGTAAACAAAGAGGTCGATGCAGACCACGGATCGTGAATGTAGGAGAAGTTGGCTCCACCAATGGGCCCCGCGGTGATCTCCCGAGCTTGACCTTCTTCAAGCACTTCCACTTCAACTTGGTCTCTTATGGCTTTGAATCTGGACTGCGCTGAGAGAAATTTTGTCTTGCGCCACTATTCAAGAGTGGTTTCGGACACTGGGTAGATTTCTGCACACCCGATGAAGCTTGATGGAAAAGGTTGAACATAGCCAGGTGGGAAGATGATGATGGAAGATAGTGGATGGTTTTCATCACTAGATCTTTTGGAAGATTATGGGCCTAAGGCAGAAAATGGGTTCAGCTGAGGTTTCGCCAGAATGCACATACATATAAACATGCCACTGTTCAATTTCTTCGAAAATCCCTTTGAATTTCAAGTTGGATTAATCTGTGAAGATCTGGGCAGAATTGCCAGAGCCAGAGAATATCAGCAAAACACATTTCGTTGCTGTCTAGCAACAGCTAGTTCTAATGAACCGCCAGCAACTATGCTGATATTTCTCAATCTTTGGTCTTGACTGTCAAACAAAGCATGGTCACTCGGTCGTGAGATCTCACATAAAAAGGCAGTGCCTACTGCTGGGTATTTACCAGACAAAGGCATTGTATCAAAGAAGCCCAGGAAGCCAGCAAAAATCTATGTGCCAGCTATTTTTCTACATTCAAAAGATCAAACGATCAACGGAATCAGATCATATCACCCGATCCCGTTTACTTCAAGTCAAACATGTTCTAACCCAGAACATAAGGATCTATCCTATTCCCCGCCATCTCTCTTTGAAAAAAAAAAAACCCCCCCATTCGCCGACGCAGTAGTGGCGGTAAAGATGCAGGACACGTCCCTCAACGCCATGGAAGCACAATCAGCACGGCCCATGGATAAAGTAAGAGGGACTTTCCAGTGATAACGCAATGCAAGTCCAAGCACCGGTCCCTGAGCAGACCACACCGGCCGAAAAGAAATAGTTTCAGTGAGATTTAGTATAGTCTTTGACCCTCCACACAAGGTGCGATGGTGGAGGGACGATGATCCCAAAGCGAAAGACAAAAAGATGCAGATAGAGAGAGAGGTCTTTCTAGACCTCGCCTCTCTCTTGCAGCGGACGTCACGGGCTGTTTCCAGTATTCCTATGGGAGAATCTGGCTATCGCGGATAGCGGTGAGAGACTGGCTGCTCGAAAGCAAAGAATTGACTTTGAAAAACGATTTCCTCGGAGTCTGAGCTCAATTTTGTATGACCGGAACGTCGGAACTAGACACCTGCTATTACGGGCATCATGTGAGTGAAGTGCGGAACTTTGTGTTTCTCTATGTGCTTTAGTGTACATACACCATCGCATGGGAGATAGACGCTGATGCTGTCATTCTTCACGGATCTCCCGGTGCGAGATGCCTGCTGTATTCATCTGCGTGAGCATGACAGGCGAAGTGTGGGGAAGGTCTGTGTCCAGGGAGCTCGGCTTGTAGGGCTTTGTCATTGGCTCCCACTGTGGCGAGGGGAGATGGGATGGCTGGAACAGCAGGGGATCTGTTCGTAAGCTAGTGCTGTCAGTTGAAGGGCTTACTGTCTTTGTCTGGTGATACTACCTGCATTTTCAGATGTTAACTGGCAACTAGGCATAAACACCCCTCGAGAAGCTGTTGGTTGTAAAGTAAAAAGGCCGCTCGGACAGTGTGAGGTGGCAGATGCACCCCGCAATAGAGGAGCGCAGGGCTACAAGCCATGCCCATCTCCACAGATAAGGAGCATCCGTTGAATCCGAGAACACTGTTAGTTTGCTTTGTGTCTCTGTTTTCAAGAGCCTACAATATGCTAAAGTACTGAGTTTTCGGTCTAGTTTGTGAAGTGATGAAATGCCTTTTTTTCTACCTAGATAGACATAGGAACTGAACGGTCCACAAAACTACATAATTAGGTCGATACACACGATCTTCAAATGGCCATTTTTGTGTAATTCTTCCTTCTAAAGAGATGGAAATGATTATGATTGACCTATGAAATCCCCCCCCCCCCCACTGATGGTTGATAGCAAACAAGACAGGGTAAAGGATCGGCCCACTCAGATATTCGCCATGGACCCTCTTCAACCCTCCAAAGGGACGAGCTCAATCCCCTCCAAGAATTTTCAACCCCCCATCGTTATCTCTGAAATCCAAACGTTCGAACATTGAATTTATCTCATTAGACGGGTCAGGCCGAACCACCGAATGACAGGGCTTGTTGGCGTTCATTCTTCGAAGATCCGTGTTGGAAACCCCTCTCTCGCCAACCGTGGGATGATGGCAGGCCCAAAGCAGCCAATCTTCTATAACGCACTATGACGGTTCACGATAGCCGACTATTTTTATGTGTGGCTTGCCTTTGAGGCGATCTATCCATCACCCGTGGATACATCCAACTTCTAGGTTGCCTTCCAAAGTGGTTGTAGAACTAGTGGAGTGACTCACCACAAAGTACGACCACTTAGTCGAGACATCAATTGAAGATTTCAAATTTTTCATTTAACTCTCAAATCTCACCTTGTCGGACTAATTGACAATCAACCCTGAGCCTGCAACTAGTACAAATGTGGAGGGAAAAAACCCCCTGCGACTTTGGAGTACACCTGCAAGTTGCGCATCAATTTCCCTCAAGTCAATAAAATAATCCAGGGAAACTTGCAAGCATAAAGTGTGAAATCAACATGAAACCCCTAAGATAAACTCACAAACAGCTCAGAACACCAACTATGCACTGACCCCGTTCATCATGCATAGATTGTCAGTTCGCTGCACTAATGCAACGCCTTGTGCACGCACAGACTGATCAAGCTATCTCCGCCCCACTGTCACCCCGCTGTCAAGTCGCAGCTCCGGGATCGCGCGCACTGACTACCGCGCCTCCGTTCTGGCCGGATGTCGAACTTGGGGGCCGTTTTGGCGCTGGTCCTTTCTCATAATGCTATATGCATAAGCGTGGGACTGGCCAAGCTATACCTACAATGGACTGACTTTGAGTGAGGCTACTAGGTTTTCGGTGGTTAAGGTGGCTTTTGAGGGATAGATGAATGCCCAACCACAAATATGGCCCCCCTAGGCCCTAAACAGGAACCTTGGATTTTGTTATGGTCTAGTGGTAAAATACGCTGTCTTTCGTTCCACAATTAAGCCTACTTTCTATGATGTACTACCATATGCATGACTAAAGCTCCAAAGTCCATACCGGTCCTCGACGTGGTCCGCATCATGTATGCTACCGAAGCAATGTAAACCGAGTCGACTAAAGCGGCTGTCCCTGACCGTTTACTCGTCTTGTCAGTGGTCGGTAAATATGAAGATGTAGAAGGTCCTGGGCAGTCTTTCCCTGGAGATACAACGTCTGAGATGCAGATGCCCCTTGGGGACGTGTGTGGTCGGCAGGGATATAGGAAGGTCAGGTGGTGCTCGGTGCAGTGTATCGCAGAAAATGCGCGTCTAGGATCTGCGTGACGTGCGACAATGCATAGTCAACCTACCTGCGCTGTTTCGTGTGATTTTGTTGTTCTTGGGCTATCAGCAGCTACAGGCCAATAATAATCAAGTTCTCTATCTTGTGCCAAAGATGTGAAAGGTTCAGGGTTGAACGGGTTGAACGGGTTGAAACGCTTATGCTGTGCAACACGTGAGTAATTGAGGTACTTGGCTGACCATAACTTTCCAATGGTCGGTCAAATAGAGGCCAAATAGGAAGGTTGGATCTACATCTCCATCGGGTGTATTCTCTGGGCGATGAGTATTTTCCGGGCAGATTCTATCTCTACAACCATAGTGTAGCGCCATTGGTAGATCCAGACCTAATCATTTACCAACCAAACGCGAACCCTGGGGTATAGTCCGCGGCATAAAAAACTTTGGGCAACTAAATGCAAGTCAGCATCGCCCCGATCACTAGGGTCCGCATCAACTCCCAGTTCGCAACATATGCACTATCAACGCAAGAGCTGAGGGCAGCGGCATCCATGCGGGGTAGCTAGAGCTCTCTAGGAAACGCACTGCCCCTCTCTGATTTCACTCTCCTAGTCTCGTCAGTGCATGTTATTCACGCTTCGTTTCCTTTGATTCTTGGAAAGCAGCGAGTGCAGCCAGAGCAGGCTGCCGCCCGAGGCGGCTGAAAGTTTTATCAAGGTGAAGCAGGGGAAGCCCTCTGCTGAGCAGCACCCGGTCGAATTGTGCGAGATGATACCCAGGACTATACTACCGAGGAAGAGTCCGCTCGATAGTTCAGCCACGCTAACACCGTCAGGGGGGAGTTGCAGTTTGACATTGTCGCCAGCGAGGCAAGGCAAATTTCAAGGAGCGCATCACTCCGGTGGAATGGTGTCAATTTGCAAAGGTTCAAATTGTAAATTGCGAGTCGGAAGGTGAGATCCTACCAGGGCGAACATTTCGAGAGTGGATTAGCAAGAGCTTTCAGTCGGTGAGAATGCAAGACCTCAAGTCTGAACTTTGTGAACTTTGTGAACTCAAGGTTCACATATAAGCATTGTATACTTCTGATAGATTCTGGTCTGACCGCTTCGACGCTTCGACCTTGTAACACTCTCTCTTCTTGAAGCGTTACGGGGTACAATTCACTTCGGGGTTTACGTGAACCGACAACCGATAGAGGCTCTCATCTTTCGGGGTCAAACAAAAGAAAATTTAGAAATTTAAAAAACCAAAAAAAAACCAAAAAACCAAAAAACCAAAAAAAAGCACTCGGAAGTTTCCAGCGTTTCGGCAAGAAAGGGCTAAACGTTATCGCCCTGCAGCTCGGAATATTGCGACCTTGCCGCTCACCGAGACGTTCATATTGGCAATTTGAGGATCCCATCAGAACTGTAGCGGGTCCGCCCGTAGGCTAGACTACCCATATTCAGTCCGTGGATACCTGGAGTTTTGCGGGACAACTCCATCTGTGAAAATGAGGGGTTCAAGATCTGGAGATCAAGCACATACAACATAGGTGCAGATCAGGAGAGTTCGAGACTCTCGAACGGTTGCGAGTCGGGATTCTAGAGTATCCACTATGCGCCCCTGTGGCTTCAGGGCTTAGCCAATCTCATTACATTTCCGAGGAGATCATTAGCCATAACGCCATGTGAAAGCCACCTATTTTGTTGAGATGGTGGTCAACGAAGAGAGTGGCAAAAAGGAAAAACTCTGCACCGCCAACAAAGGGGTTGGTGGACCGGGCGTAGGCGTCTACACTCTGCACAAAAGGCTTGGAAATGACCAATTGAGAAAAAAAAATAAAAAATAAAAGGGTTTATGCAATTTGTCACTTTAGTGAGAGACATGGGAGATGGGAGTCACCGTTGGGGCTGAGGAAATCGGGAAACACAGAAAACCAATTTAGAATTTGCACGATTTGACCTTTCTGTGATGCAACTTTTGACTTCTCAGCATGTTAACTTTTCAACTATGCATGCCTCTTGGAAAGATAGTTGAAATATCACAAGAACGTGCATATCCCCATCATACTACTTCTAAGATGAGGAAATGTCTTGGAGGAAATAAAAATCTATTTATGCTGCACGAGCGACCGGGGGGGGTCCAGACCTCCCGCCAAGTCAAGAAAAACCAAGGCACCGGGGACTATCAAATGCATTTTGACATCATGGACTTATCAGTGTGGAATTACCACGACCCGTGGTTTTTTTTTTTTTCAACGTACATAGAGATGAGAAGTCGTGATTTCGGATCCGCATTCGGACATTGGAAGGATTTCTAGAAGGATTCGTGATTGCTACGTGATTGCTTCAGTTTATTGACTGATCCAATTGGAAATTTCGAACCCTGAACAATCTTAAAACATACTCCGTACATCTCCATACTTTCACACCGTCATACCAGCCTTTTGCGGCACCCACGGTGGAGCCCTGGAGTGCAGGTTATCGTAGATCTATCAAACTCCGGAGTACAGCACAAGCGCAGTAATGATGAGACGATGTTTAAATGCACCATGCACGTCACCGTGGGATTCTATAAACTGCCCAGGTAGATCAAAAAAATCGTGTTCTTTTGATCTCTACGTAGTTGGACCATGGCTGTGTAGCGGGAAAGGAAACCCGCTGTCGTTCCACCGCAGAGAACAGGTTCCCGAGGTCCTTACAAACTTGTTCTAAGATCCAAGGTTCTCGGAAGTGTCAGAAAGTCTTGATGACAGGGTAGTCTAATTGGATTGACAATGGGGGAGTTCTTCCTTTTTTTTTCCTCCTTTCTCTCTGTTTCGTATGGTTTTCGCTGCTTCCCTATCTAGTTGGATACATAGTACTCCGTAGTCCGACCAGAGAGGATAACAGCAGAGTAACTCCCAACCCCTTGGCACTTGTAGCCCCCACGATTTCATAAATGCTGGAACACAGTGTAGTCGAGGTGCGCCGAAGGAGATAAGTGGATCTTATGCTTCCAGCACTTGCATGGCGCAATGTATCCCTAGCTACGGAGCGCCAGTGCGCGCCAAAAAAAAAAAGTTGACTTTCTGCCACAGGCTAGGAGAATCTGGGACAAACCGGTTTTGGCTGGGCGAATCCACAAATTTTGACCAATCTTTGGCCCACGGGGCCTCAGTTCAATGTTGATAAGGGAACCTAGAAAGATCGGTGTATCACCCTATCTTGATAGCACGGTAATGCTCAAGAATTTATGATAAGTGCATCATTTGTTGGAAGATCGATTTGGATGTTTTGAGGATCGTGGGTAATACAAAAGGATGAACGTCAGGTCAAAAACAGGGAACACAGGTTGAAGCAAAGTTAGTGTACATGGGACCTCTTAGCGCCTGTGGGCTGATGTAGGCCATTAGTACACTAATTTGTCACACTAGGGGGAAACTTCTAGTGCATTTATAGTGAGCTCGCAATTTGCAGGATCGTCGGGCTCGTGCGAATAGACCACCTGTCGGAGAATTCGGATAAAATAAAGACGCGGAATTAGGGGCGATGGTGAGATATCTGGTAAGTTTAGGATGTCCACGGATATCTAGATGGGATATCAACTGCAATCGGACAATTGACCATGGAAGGTAGAAATAGAAACAAAGTACGGAGTAATCAAATTTAGTCAAAGAAAAAAAAAAAGACAAAAAATTGCAAATGGAAAAGAGCGAAAAAAGAAAACAAGAAAAAGCAACCAGGGAGTTATTCCCCACCTATACGGGACGCATTGACCTTGGTGGTATCGAAGAGTCTATGCAAAGTAGACGCACCTAGACAATCATTTGATGGCGCTTGGATAATCATCTTTATTTGTCTTGTTCCACTTTTTTATTCAGGGATTTCTGGTTTCTGATTTCTCTTGAAAAGCTATAATACCGGATTCTTATCTCTTTTGCGAATGAGATTTTCTTTCCACCTCCCGGCTTATCTTTTTTTTTTACGGTCAGAGTGGAAATGGCTACTTGAACTCGCCACTATATCTTCTTTATCCGGTACTTCCAAGGTACCTTTAAAAATCACCTCTTTCCCTTGATCGCGGCTGTGCCGGGAGCTTGCTATTATTATTTTTTTTTTTCATTCTTATGTACATCTTGTCTTTTCTCTATACAATTTTTAAAACGGTTCCGTTCAATACTTTTGGCCTCATTGCCTCTTGATGTTCATACTTCAAGGTATTCACGGTATTGAGAAGCTCCCTCCCAAACCCAATTCCCTTCCAAGTGACTTCTTTTTGGTGTTGTCTGTGAAACCTTGAATTTTTCCACTGGCACCTTCCTCAAGTGTCACCCCACTCCCCTGTGATGAAATGGCATGTCTTTCCTCGCCTCTTGCCACTCCTTGACCTCCGTTGCCACACTCTGAATTCAATGAAGCCTTGCTGACAATAAAGCTACTGCAGGCACTTGATTGTGATTGAAATATTACCTAGTCTTTGTTATCTACCTTTCATCCCCTTCTTGTGTTGAAATACACAAGTCGGCCGGATGCCATACACGGCGCCGTTGAAGACGTTGCTCTCTGCGCAGCATATTGAATACTCTCGCCCAACCGAAGAATCCGGTGAGCGGCCCGGTCTGGCGTATCCTTCGTCGGAACGGGTTCAGAATCCTCGATCATATTCCTCTACCTCCTATACCCGTCGCCATCGGAGGAGTCCTTCGAACACCAAACCAACAGTGCATACCGCTCCAGAATCTCCGGCCCGGGCCTCGCCCTCTCTCGATCCACCTGCCTGTCTACGTCAGTCCCCACCACCGATAAGCAATGCTATAATTCCCCCCGGGGCGGTAATCTCACCTCCTGAATCTGGGACGAACTCCAGTGATGAAGAATCACCCCACAGGAGTGGCGAGGGTGTCAAGTTTGACGAGCTGGAGGCTGCCGTTCGATCAATCAGATTGAGGAGGGAGAGTTCGCCGGAAAGAATGGATCCATCAGACCACCTAGGAACAGCGCTTCAGCACTTGTCGAGTGTACCATCAGCCACGGGGGCGAAGCCCACTCGGCCCAAGCTCCCCCATTTACCATTGTCCAAAGAAGCTCGCAAGATCAGTCATTCTCGATCATCCACAGAAACCGCCATCGAATTGGCTCGGGAATCGGCGCTGACTAGCTCACCTGAAGAAAGTGACGTGGAGATGTCGTGCAAGCCCCTAATGGTCCGTAAGAAGTCAGGTGAGCTTGTTCGGCCTGCTCTTCGCCCTTCGTCATCACGGAGACGACCATCCAGCATGCCTGGTACGCCCGTCTATTCCAAAGCGGTGCACTTCGATTCCCACTTGGAACATATTCGTCACTTCCTTCAGCTTGACAGGCCATTGGCTGTCAGCACGGAAACATCACCAGTTGAAACCCATGACAACAAGGCTGAATTTCCCTTTGGCTCTGCTGACTCGGGCGATCTGTCGTGGGAATGGGAGATCAAGCTCTCCAATTGGCCTAAGGATCCCTCATCGCGTGTCACTCGTCCTGTGCGCCTGGAGCGGTTGTTCTTATCTGCTGATAAGAGCACTTTGATCGGCACGGTTGCAGTTGCGAACATCGCTTTCCACAAGAATGTGACGGCTCGTTTCACACTGGATTATTGGAGGACTACCTCCGAGGTTGCAGCGGCATACTGCCATGATGTTCGCCGCCAGCAAGCTGCTGACGGGTTCGATCGCTTTTCGTTTGACCTCAAGCTGAATGATCAGGCCCATCTGGAGACTAAGACCATGTTCATGTGCATCCGCTACAATGTGGAAGGGCAAGAATTTTGGGATAACAATGATTCGGTGAACTACCAGGTTGATTTCCACAAAGTCCCTAAAAACCCAACGAGCAAGTCGGCAAGTGGCGGATCTCGCCCTGCTCTGCCGCGCAGCCGGTCCTTCACCAGTTCTCATGCCACTCGGCCGCAACCCATGCCGCATAATTATGATTTCTCCGACATCAGCGGCAAGACGCCATTTACGAACCCTTTCAACGGTGCGAATGGTGCACCCTTGACTCGCACGCCCTCGGATGATATCGATGCGGTCGCGCCGCCCAAGCGCCGTGAAAACTCCAACCGTCAGGCATTTGGAAACCGGTACGACTTCGGAGCGTCGCTATCTGCTGCTATGCGGTCAAAAGCGCCTCTGGATCGGACTGCTCTGACTGCCCGTGCGAGATCTGGGGAGACCGTGGTCCCAGAGACCTCTAAACCGACCAAGAAAACTCCCAGTATTGAGCAGGGCCATGGTTCCCCAGTGAGCGATAATTTCCGCACCGGAAGTCCTGTGGTCAATCTAAAACCTTCCTCTTTGGTATCTAGCAAGCCACAGCTCGAGTCTTCCGTGTACCGGGAGTTGGTCGATAAGTACTGCTTTGTAAGTTTCATAAGAGCCAATCACACTATAAGAGTCAACTAACCTGCTATAGTATGGATCTCCGCAAGCATCGAACCAGAAGGCACACCCACCAATTTCGAGCGGCCGTGACGTTGAGGCCCCAAAGCATATCTCTGCACCAGCCTGTCCTTCCTCTGCACCAGCCTGTCCTTCGCCGCCGCTTTCTCCTCGATCTCCTGCTCCTCTCGCTGCCCCTGTGGCCGAAGCACCGCGTGCTTCTGTTAGCCCACGCGCCTCTCCACTGCCCTCAGCCTCCCCCTTGGATTTTCGCTATTCTTTTCACGGCGGGTTTATGAATGACCCTCACTCTCCAGCGGTTATCAGAGGGTGAGTAACATAGACTGTTCCATGACAGCTACCCACCTGGCTGCGATCCCATCCGGTCGACCTTCAATGCATATTGTTGACGACTTTGGTGAAGGGGATTTGATAGTCCTTGCGAAGAACTTGACAGATCTGTTGGCTTTCTTTCGACCGCTTTGATCCCAACATGTATCGGCGCACTCTGATGGATGGACTTTTTTTTTCTCTTCTTTTGTCGACTCTCTCAGCATTATCTGCTCTACCCGCGAGCGATATCGGCCAAGCAGCACCTGTGAGCGATTGTCTGCGATGCACAATAAACCGCGGACGTTGCGTTGAAACATTCGCTGCGTGGCTCGCTACCAATCGTCGAACTTATTCTCGACGCGGTCGCCCCAGCTATTGCCTGGCGCGGCCATTCTCACGATTTTTCTTGTTTATCTCTCTGTGCCGTTTTGGCCACGCATGATGACGCTACGATTTCTTTTCCGAGGCATTTTTCGATTCCTATTTTCGATTTTTTTACTTTTCCTTCCTGGATGGCCCTTTCTTTTCAACGCAAAAAGTTTGAAGTTTGCCCGCCTCAGCTCTTGATCTCGATGCATTGCCCTTTAAGGTTTTCTGACCGCAAGGTGTTCTGGCATTTTTGTCTTCCCTGCCTTTTTTTTTGCTTGTTATTCCGATTTGAGTTCCACAATACGGTCTTCCTTTTTGGTTGGACGTGGACAGGGACGCAAAGATGGGAAGATGGCGATACATGACTGCCTCCTTTATAGGCAACGCGACGTAGTTTTGAAATCACACGAGACATGATGAACGCGACTGGATGTTTATTTTTCTTCGCTTGTAGCTTGCTGAGGTAGCAATTAGTAAATATGCAAAATCCTCCCAATAGCTGATAAAAATGCTAGCCACGCGTTGAACAGCGAAGGAGTATGTACTACGAACCTCCGATTCACTGGGGTCTTGGGTATACTTCCCGATTGGGCTAGCGCAATGCTCTATCTTATCATCACGTGGCAATTACCGTTGTCACTCGACGCAGGAAAATGCGGGCTCGTCGATGCCTGGTAGACGCGCTGGAAACCGACCCTTCATAACGCCCTTTTTCTCTCTCCGCCGCCCGCCAATCACCGCCGCATTGCAGAATGATGTTTAAACGCTCGCTTACCTAAAGCACTTACATCCCGGATCATGCGTCATCGCCTTTCCTATTTAAACTGCCTTCCCCCTCCATTTAGACATTTTTGAATTTTTCCCTTTCTTATTCTCCACGCCAACCCATCAAACGCGTCTTTCTCATCATCTTTTCGACAACACAGGCTTCAGTCCATCTCAATCTTTAAACCGTTCAATTTTTCACATCTGAAACTATGTCTGGACGTAAGTTTTAGTGTTGTTCTCTCGTGTTGCTGGCAGTATACTTCCTCGTCTCTATATGGTCGGCGAGGTGAAGTTCCAAAAATAAGAACTGGTGATGCCCCTGTCGACACATGTTTCATGCCTCAGGCATCAACTGCATTCCACCTTTCCTAAATAGGAAAGGACGTTCACCTTTCCGCATTCAACACAACCTCCAACCACCCTCAACCTATCTATACTCCCCTGCTCTTTATCCCGTTACTTAATTTGCTACTACGCCTCCCCTTAAGCCTTACACAAGTGACCGAACAAAACTAACATACATAAACAGGTGGCAAAGGCGGAAAGGGTCTCGGCAAAGGCGGCGCCAAGCGCCACCGCAAGATCTTGCGCGATAACATCCAGGGAATCACTAAGCCGGCCATCCGCCGTCTCGCTCGTCGTGGCGGTGTCAAGCGTATCTCCGCCATGATCTACGAGGAGACCCGCGGTGTGCTCAAGTCCTTCCTTGAGTCCGTCATCCGTGATGCTGTCACCTACACCGAGCACGCTAAGCGTAAGACTGTCACCTCCCTTGACGTTGTCTACGCCCTAAAGCGCCAAGGCCGTACCCTCTACGGTTTCGGTGGCTAGATTCGTCTTACGACTTTAATGGTCTTTAACGACTTTACCACTCATTCACTGCGTGCGAGGTGGCGGTCAAGGCTTTTTTAACAATGCGCTCTAAGGTGTGACGGGTTTTTGTCTTTTATTTTGCGTCAAATAGCTATGGGGTTAATGGAATTTCTTTGGGTTTTGCTTTTGTGCCTTCTGTTGTTGGGACTTTTCTTCTCATGGTTAGTGGACATTGGTGTCCTTGACAACTGGTTTCTGATAGGCTATCGGTTTGACTCTTGAGTTCAATACAACGTCTGCTATCAGCCATTTGTTTTTCTTTACGTAGTTTGTAGCAAATCATCTTAGTTGTTTAGGTATATAGTAGAATTGGCCTTTTATGCCGTCATTATAAAGTGGACAGTCACGGGCGGAGCATCGTCCCACGCAACCTTGAATCGGCGTTTAGCACAGCGCTCACAGAACACTCAATTTCTTCTTCCTAACTACAAAACCAACCCAGGCTCTTATGCTTGTTGTCTTTTGGCAATTCAGTTGTTGCAAATATGGCTTCATCTTCAATTAAAGCTAAATTTTTCTGCCCCCATGAAACTGCCCGTCATGCTGCGACCATTCTCGGGTTCCCATCCAAAGTCTCCATCGCCTCGGTAAATTACGAAAGCGCCTGTGTCGACATTGCTAATTTGGCATCGGTAATTTCGGCCTATGAACCAGTTCGACTATATGCACGACCCGAAAATGTCCAGAAAGCAAAGTCAATGGTTAGCCAAGCTATTACGAAATATCCGAGTAACACTTCGAATATCTCCGTCATTCCCTTTCTCACAAATCACCTTTGGATCCGCGATACAGGCCCTGTCTATGTATTTGGAGTTGACAGGTTCATCTACCAACGCTTTGCAATCAACTTTCGTTTCAGTGAATGGGGGAGGAAGCAGGACCTTGGCGCCCACAACCCGGAGTTCAGATGGGCTTGATTGGCCTGTAATGACACCTGAACAGATGGAAGAAAACGGAAGCTTTGCTCGCAAAGTTATCGAGTTCGATGTTCTCCCATCTCCAGTAACTCTTGTTGAATCGCAGATCCGGTTAGAAGGTGGGGCACTAGCTGTGGATGGCGAAGGTACATTGCTGGCCACTGAAAACAGCATTATCAACCAAAACCGCAATCCGGGTCTTTCAAAGACCACGATTGAAACAGAGCTGCGGCGTCTGCTAGGCGTTGAGAAAATCATCTGGTTCCCTGGCCGAAAGGACCTGGATGTCACTGATGTGCATGTTGATGCTGAAGTCAACTTTGTCCGGCCAGGGGTTGTTGTCCTCTCACGGCCCCATTCTAGTGCGCCTAAGGCATGGGTGGAGATCTATGAAGAAATCAGGGACATTTTGGGCCAGTCGGCTGATGCGAAGGGTCGTTCTTTCGAGGTACACGAAGTAGACGAGCCGAGCCCCAAGATCTTCGGGATCTTGTCTTACGATGAGCCAACCATAAACCATGAGAATTTTTCATTTCGTGAATGGATGGCTCATTATTCCTCAGTTCGGCGATAGCCGGCGAGATTAAGAGGCCCTAGGGCTGTTTCAAAAGCTGTGCCCTGATCGTATGGTTCGGCCAGTGTTTTTGTCTGCGCTTCCATTGGCTGGAGGTGCGATTCATTGGGCGACTCAACCAGTACTTTCCGTTGATGAGCATCCATGGGGATTTTGAAACAAAGTGTCAAACCTCAAATACGGCCTCCCTAGGCCATAAACAGGAACCTTGGTTTTTGTTATGGTCTAGTGGAAAAGTACGCTGTATTTCGTTCAACACAAAGAAACAACACCCCAAAATT